AGGAGCTGGCGCTGAGGGGTCTGGTGCTACTGGAGGTGCTGGAGCTGCTGGGGGTGCTGGAGCTGCTGGTGCTGGTGGCACTGCACAGCCGCGCCTGTTCTTTGCTCCGCCGTCTCCGTCGTCTCAGCCACCGTCTGACTCTGTACTTCGCCAGGTTCTTAGTCTCCCTTCGTCTACTGGTCTTCCGTTACAGCCTGGCTCACCGCTGCCTGCTCCTTCTCCTTACACTGAGCAGTTAGGGGGTCTTAGTGAGCGTCGTGAGCCTGCGTCGCGTCCTGTCTCGCCTGTCCGTTCTGGTCGTTTCGGTCGTCGTGTTCCTCGCTCGCGTCAGCCGGTTGTCCCCGGCACCCACCTCGTAGTTCGTCGTCCTTCCTCTCCTCCGCAGCGTGCTCCCCTGCTGTCCCCTCCTGTGTCTTCTCTGCCTACCGTTCCTGAGCCTGAGTCTGACCGCGTTCGTGCTGCTAGCCCTACTGTCACACCTCTGCTAGCCACAGTTGTCACTGACCCGTCGTTTGAGTCTGCTGCTGCGTCTGCCTTAGTCGCTGAGCTTGTTGACTTTGCTGCTGCCTGTCGTCTAGACTACGCCGCTAGTCTTGTTGCTGATTCTGAGTCTGTCTGTCCTCCGTTCGTCGGGGGTGAGTGTGCTCTTGGCACGGACGTCCTTGAGGATAGGCAGGAGGACCTTGAGTGTCTTGCAGCCGCTGCGCCTCATCTCGTGTCCATGCTGCTTGCCCCTGAGGGAGACCCGGATGCTCCAGACATCCCGACCCGCGCTCTTACGCTGAGGCGATTGCGGGTCAGTACTCCTCTCAGTGGCAGACAGCCATGGACGCAGAGATGGCATCCTGGAAGTCCACAGGCACCTACGTCGACGAGGTTCCCCCTCCTGGGGCGAACATCGTCAGTGGCATGTGGATTTTCAGGGTGAAGCGGCCGCCAATTCTCTGCCTGCCTTCAAGGCTCGTTACGTTGCTCGAGGTTTCAGTCAGCGAGAGGGAGTTGACTTCTTTCAGACTTTCTCCCCCACCCCGAAGATGACCACGCTTCGGGTGCTGCTGCACGTTGCCGCTCAGCGTGACTACGAGCTTCACTCTCTTGACTTCAGCACAGCTTTCTTACAGGGCAGCCTGCACGAGGAGATCTGGCTGCGCCGCCCTCCTGGCTTCACTGGGTCGTTCCCTCCTGGTACCCAGTGGAGCCTCCGGCGGCCGGTCTACGGTCTCCACCAGGCGCCACGTGAGTGGCACGACACACTGAGGACGACACTTGCGGCTCTTGGGTTCGCGCCTTCTACTGCTGACCCGTCGCTGTTTCTGCGCACCGACACTTCGCTGCCGCCGTTCTACATCCTCGTGTACGTCGACAACTTGGTCTTTGCCACTGCGGACACTGCGGCTCTCGCCCTGGTGAAGTCGGAGCTGCAGAAGAGACACACGTGCACAGACCTGGGTGAGCTGCGCAGCTACCTTGGCTTGCAGATCACCCGGGACAGAGCACGCCGCACCATCACACTGACTCAGTCACACATGGTGCTGCAGGTCCTTCAGCGCTTCGGCTTCACCTGGTCCTCGCCACAGCACACTCCTCTGGCTACAGGTCACTCGCTCTCAGCTCCACCTTCGGACGAGTCCGTAGAGCCGAGTGGTCCTTACCCAGAGCTAGTGGGCTGCCTCATGTACCTGATGACCTGCACTCGTCCTGACCTTGCGTACCCTCTTGGCCTTCTCGCTCGCTACGTGGCTCCTGGTAGGCACCGACCGGAGCACATGGCTGCTGCTAAGAGGGTACTGCGCTACTTGTGCAGTACATCGGGCATGTGGCTCGTGCTTGGAGGGCGGAGCCCAGTTGTCCTCACTGGGCACTCGGACGCTTCTTGGGTTGACGACCTGGCTACACAGCGGTCGTCACAGGGTTACACCTTCAGCCTTGGCTCTGGCTCTGTTTCTTGGCGGTCTACACGCTCGTCTTCTGTTCTCGGCTCCAGTTGTGAGGCTGAGATCTACGCCACAGCCATGGCTGCACAGGAGCTACGCTGGCTCACCTACCTGCTGACCGACCTGGGAGAGCGGCCTCGTTCTCCTCCAGTGCTGTACGTAGACAACAAGGCCGCCATTGCCTTGTGTCAGGAGCACAGACTGGAGCACAGAACGAAGCACATCGCTCTGCGTTACTTCCTCGCTCGAGAGTTGCAGCAGCGAGGTCAGCTTCGTCTTGCTCACGTGGCCACTCGGGCCAACACTGCTGATATATTCACCAAGGCACTTCCGTCTGGTGATCATCAGCGTTTCTGTACTTTGTTAGGCCTAGTGCCCACTTTTCCTCACTTGCTGTAGACCTTGTTTGTACTGTGATCTATATATATACCTGCTTGCTTGCTTTGCTAGGTAGAGATCACTGTGATGCTGTTGTTGCATATATACCTCTGCATGTGAACTGGCCTTGTGGCCCTTTGCTTGTGCTCAGTGTGTGTGGTGACGTTGTGATCCACCCTGAGCTTGCTTTGCTTCTCTTGACTGGTCTTGTGACTCCTTGCTCTCCCCCACTTTGCCTATGGGGGTGTGTCAAACTATGATAATGCTTGTGCTGTGTAGGCTGTAGTGGGGTAGCCCATAAGGGGTACAACTCAAAATTGGGTTAGCATATGTACCCACATCTCTGTTCAATGCACTCATTCCTGCTGCTAGATTCTGACAGCTGCAACGTGCAGCAACACCCGAAGAGTAGTCATCTTCGGGGTGGGGGAGAAGGTCTGGAAGAAGTCGACCCCCTGTCGCTGACTGAAGCCTCGAGCAACGTAACGCGCCTTGAAGGCGAGTGGAGAACCCGACGGCCGCTTCACTCTAAAAATCCACATGCACTAGACTATGTTCGCCCCAGGAGGAGAAACCTCGTCGACATAGGTGCATGTGGACTTCCAGGAAGCCATCTCTGCGTCCATGGCTGTCTGCCACTGAGAGGAGTACTTACCCGTGATCGCCTCAGCGTAAGAGCGCCGTGTAGGGATGCCAAGTGCATCCGGGTTTCCCTCAGGGCAAAGCAGCATGGATGCGAAACGAGGTAAAACGACCGCAAGAATCTCAAGCTCAAACTGCCTATCCTCAAGGACGTCACTGCTAAGGGCAGGCTCACCCCCGACGGACGGGGGACAGACAGACTTAGACTCAGTAACAGGACTCGTGACGTAGTAAAGACGAGTGGTAGCAACAAAGTCGACTAGCTCAGTGAGTAGGGCAAACGCAGCAGTAGACTCAATGGAAGGGCCAGTGACGATAGTGGCAAGGAGACGAGTGACAGTAGGACTGGCAGCACGAGCAAGGTCGGACGGCGGGTCAGGAACGTCAGGAAGAGAGGACGCCGGAGGAGACAGCAGGAGAACACGCTGTGGAACAGAGGAAGGACGAAGTGCCATAACGTGAGTGCCTGGGACAGCAGGAGGACGAGCGCGAGCGATAGGACGAGCACGAACAGGTGTGGAGGCACGAGACTCAGGCTCACGACGCTCAGTCAGGGAGTCTGGCATCTCAGTGTAGGGAGAAGGAGCAGGCAGTGGGGAGCCAGGTGGCAACTGTGTCTGAGACAGGGCAGACGGTCGACAGAGGAGGGGTGGAGTGAGGCCAGTGGAAGATGGGAGATTAAGAGCCTGGCAAAGGGCCGAGTCAGGCGGTGGCAGGGACGACGGCGGGTGCGGGTAGAAAAACGGTCGGCGCGGCGCAGTACCCGTACCGTCAGCAGCTCCAGCACCTCCAGTACCTCCAACTCCAGCGTCTCCAGCACCAGCGCCTCTAGCTCCGGTAGCTCCGGTAGCTGCGCACTGCTCTGCAGGGGTGGCGCGCGCTACTATGCAGGGGCGCGCGCTGCTCTGCAGGGTGGCGCGGGCTGTTCTGCAGGGCAGGTTACTACGGAGCGTCGGAGCGATTACGGAGCGACTGAGCGACTATAGAGCGACAGAGCGACTATGGAGCGATGGAGCGATTACAGAGCGAAGGAGCGGTGGAGCGGTACTAGGCTAGGAGTGTACCTACACATGATACAATCTCAAGGGTGATGCATAGCGGAATGATCAACTAGAAAGAGGATGGGGTACAAATATGCAAACCTAAAAGCTGTGCTCCCTAGAACACACCTCACTACAACCTATCACATTTTTTACATTTTGACACATTTCTGCAGTGCAACCACCAAAACCCTGTAGAGTGGCCAATAGCTTGTAGTAACCTAGAGTTATAGAAATTGGTTCGGAAAGGTAAAGGTCTGCGATCCGATCCATTGCAGTACTTATCAGGGTTTCACAATAACCTTGAAAAATCAGGCCTTTTCTTATACGAAGGCTGTCAATCAGGCATCATTTCTACAGGGACCCTGATGGATCAGGGCTCCTAAATTTGAATACCGTATAAGGCCCTGCCGGGGTACTACAGTATAGGTATACAAGAAATAGACAACATTCATCTGATAATGAGGACCCTCATGCAGATTGGCAACTCGTACCAACTGAGAAGCCACATTTATCCAAGGTCATAGTTACGGCACACAAATAAACCTGGAGCCTACACTCCCAACACACTTCTTCTCATTGTACATGTAGTATTTTGAAATGGCTCCATTCTGAGCTCCACCATAGAAGCTGTATGCACCTGAGCACGTCAATGATGGTGATACTGGTTTCTGCCTACCCTTCTTGCACACGCCGACATCGAATGACCAATACTCTGCTCGTAGGCAAATCTGCAGTCACGCCGTTTACAAACACAAGGAGTGCAAGGAACATATCATGAGGGAGTAAAAGGAAGAGATTGGCACAAAAAGAAGATTTCTTACAAATGATTAAGGGCAAATAGTTGGAACAAAGGGCTTACGAATCTTACAGCAAGAGCACATGATGGACGACCTTTGCGCCCTCACCCATCAAGCACCCCTTCATTCCACAGCTTTCCCACCACCCTTTTCTCCCATCCCTTGCCCCCCATCCTTCCTGGTCCATTCTACCCTCCACCACACACCTGCACGCCAGTGTTGCTTCCAACAGCAGAGGCGGTGGTCGGGATGACATCGGAGCAGATGAGGCCGGGATTGTTGCGGTACAGCTCAGCCCAGCGCATGGCATTCACCTCCGCAGTCCCTGTGGGGTCGCCCTCACTCCCCTCCACCTGCCGCAGCAGGCGCTCGCACGTGTCCTGTGGTGTGAGCACGCCGTATCGCGAGCACCGAGGGACTTTGAAAGCGAAGGTGGCGTTGCGCTCAACGCACAGAGAGCGACCCGCCTTGATGGGCTCTGAGCAGTTGAGGCCGGGATTGAGAGAAGTGAGGTTGCTGCTGGTGAGGCCCAGCTGCGTGCTGATGGACCAGCATGTGTCGCTCTGAAGGGTTGAAGAATGGGAGTAAGGCACAGATGTCTGCGGTGAATGGAGTATGGCTGTGATGATAGAGACTGCCTTGCTGAGCTGATGCGAAACAGAGGGGAATGATGAATAGGAATAAAGCTCATGGAGAGGGTGTAAAAGATAGCTTTAGAGGTTTGAAAAACAGGAGAGAAGGTATAATACATAAGGCATGAAGGTGAAAGCAGGACGAATGTACTTCATGCAGTGCTGAGTAGGGTGGCTGGGTTGCTAGAATATTATTGATTGGCCAAGTAGAACGAAGTGAGACGACCTGGGAAGAGAGGAATGATTTGGTGAAATATACAAGATGGAAGAACAACAACGGCTAAAGCTCACGCTGATGGTGTAGAAGAATGCGGTGCAGGGAATGAGGAGAGGATTCCCCAGCTGAAGCACCACGTTGCGAGGCAAAGGACGACTGCAGTCAATGGCCTGCAATGAGGAGCACAAACGTCATAGGATTTGAAATATAGCCAAGTTAAGCATCCCGTGGGGCTACTGCGTTCATACAAATTCGCCAAAAACTTTGATAGATTTCCCTGGACATTGCAGTTAATGCTTTCCTGCTCTAACACCATCTCTGCATGCATCTCCACTCTTCCAGACTAGCCATCTCTACTGCTCACCGCATTATTCTGCGTGAATTGTGCAAGTGAGAGGCCCACAAGAGGGAGGACATCAGTGCACCACCAGTTGCTGCCACTCACTGCCAGAGTGCTGGCCGTGGTGTTGGCTGAAGAGGGATGATGAGATCGAAAGAAGGAAAACACACCAAATAGAGGGGCTTAACTGAAAACAAAGTCAATAGTTTTTGAGAACAGATGAAACTGCAGGCAATCGAACCACAGCATTCTTCGACCGTTCGGTTCGACATCAAACCGGTTCGGTTCGGTGATTTCCTCATGACTACCGGAGAGCACAAGCAGTTTGAGTGGGTCGTGATGTCCCCAACATTTGGTACAATAATAAATGAAAAAAGTAGTGACCATCTTGCAAACAAGGCCAAAGCAGAGCACCTGGGTCGCAGGTGGGGAAGTTGTCAATGGTTGTGCTTTCGATGTAGTTGGGAGGGCAGATGCAGGAGTAGGAGCCCTTGCTGTCGTTGATGCATGTGCCCACATAGCAGGGGTTCTTCAAGTCCGACCCACACACGTCCACTGGCAAGAGATGCGAAGCACAATTGTGGAGCACAGGGATGAGGCGAGAAGAGATATGCATGTGTTGAGAGCAACGGGAAGACTGGGTGGAGGGAGATGGGGGAGATTTAGATGACAGAGGCTTGGTGAAAGAAAAATTTGATGAACAAATCAGACCACTGTTTTGACAACGGCCATGGATGAACATCATTGTTTGAGAACCAAACCACTTACAATAGGCACATTTTTGAGAGCCATATCCATTTGCAACTTGAACAAATGGCTGCCTGGCTTCATTCGGAAGCGAGCAGTTACACGAGTTGGTGTTACTGCGCAGGTTAGCTCGGCATGTGAACCGCCCACACGGATTCATGCTGGGCTGCAGGTCGCCGTCACCCTTGAAGCTCCTCTGGCCGCACGGGTCCTTGGGAACTGAAGGTTGGTACACACGAGAACAGGGGTAGTAGAAATGGGTGCAATTGCAGTATCATTGAAAAAGACCGCGGGTAGGAATGAGCAAATTTAACCAAGGGAGAGGTGCAAGAAACGTGAGTTGGAGATTGACCATTTTACGAACTGGAGACAGCATTGGCTCACACTCCCTTCTCTCGGTTAACCATCTCTCCACTCCACCCTACTCAATGGCTTTGCTTTGCAGCTTGTTCTGTGTCTTTCACCCTGGAACAGTGATAATTGACCCTGTCATGTACTCGAAGGGGTGAGGAGATTGAGATATGGAGAGAACGATGGGGGAAGTTGCCTCACTCAAGACCATTAGGTAGATGCCTCACTCTTGACAATGGGGTAGATGCCAGGCAGAACGTTGATGCCACACACGCCATCACCTCCCTGAATGTCCATGCGCATATGGCCCCTGTCACCCCACTCCACTCCCCACGAGTTGCGGATAATCCAAAATGGAGGCGCAATGCGATTTTGGCTGCCGTCATTTCTGAAGACGAAGTAGCCAACAACGAGTACAGCGTGGTTCAGACTGCCGGTGTAGCAGCCAGGATCTTGGTACTTGAAGGTCTGAAGAGAAAGAGGGACATCACAACAAAGATGGGAATGGGTATTTAAAAAATGTACAGATTGATGTGGGTAACAACTTTTGTAAAGCAATTTTCAACGTATGCACATCATAAAGGGTACATGCAGGCAGCACCCACCCCGTCATATTGCGCGAACTCTCGAGCAGAAGCCTCTATGTGAACCACCACTGGCTGTCGTCGAACTGCCAGCATGAGGCCCACAAACCCCTTGAACCGAGTGCGCTCAAATGCGTGAACAGGGTACTTCTTATTCTGAATGTTGACAGCTCAAAGAGAATTTCGCAACATGTTGGAAGGAAGAGAAATAAACACCTCAACAGAAAGAGAACAACATTTGCTTGCTGAAAATGCATGCAACAAGTAAAGGCTAACCTGGTTTAACCTAGCCAATTCTAGCAAGCAGTACAACATTGGAGTGCATAGTAAGGTGGTTACAACATACAGAATATTCTAATTTAACTTGAAATGTGCTTGTGTTATGGAACCTCAAACATGGGTTCTAACATGAGCAGGAGCCATAATGTGTTTCTAGATATATTGCAAATAGTGTTCAAGGTTGTATTGCGAATATAAACCGAATACACTGAGCTTTAACTTTTCTATTTTTTAATATATTCATCAGAGTTCTAGTCATCCCTCATCGAATCGTTTAGGTCTGGAGCGTGAAGGCTTTATCTCCTCAGCCCACGGTGTGCACAAATCCCTCGATCACTCGAGCATGGCAATAATACTTGATGATCGGATACATGCAAATAGCATGTTGCGACAAATTCGTATAAACATTTGACTTTTCAGTCGAGCCTTGAATACCACGCGAATACCGAGTTGTTTGTTTACAGGCTCAGTCAGCCTTCTCTCCGTTCGTCGGGGTAGAATCTGTTTGTCGCTTGCATGAATAAATTGGGCCTTTTGGCTCGACCAATCCATTTTAGCATATCCAACTTCGAGCTAAAATTATGCTTTAGAGAAATTTGTTCAGCTGTGTTAGAGATTGCAACCGCTGACGACAGTGACTGCTGCAACGACTAAGTCTAGAACTCAGAGAAGAGTCTTTGTGTCATTAGTTGTAGTGTCGTTGCAACTCATCTCAACATCAGGCACACTACTCAGAGTTCTCAATTCTCTCACAAACATCTATCCTTTCTAGCCTTCTGCTCTTGCACCACACTACTCACAGGCGCGCCAGCCTTTGTGATTCCGCCATTGGGCAGCGTGAGAAGCGTTTCCAATGCCTCGGTGGGGGAGCCCCCCGTGCTGCACTTGTCAGCCTCGGAGGTGAGCCCCATGGCTGCAAAGAGTGACTCCACTGACAGCTGCGGCGCCTCCCCATTCGTTGCAATGCCGTATGCCGCTTCCACACTCGCCACCAGCGCAAATGCCCAACAAGCATCTGGGTATGTGAAACACAGTCTCGTGAATAAACAAAGTGGATCTGAAGAGTGCTGTATCAAAGTGGTGAATAACCAGAGTGGATCCTAAGCACGTATTGAGGCGAGTATTGTGAGATGGCTGGCTGAAACATGTGGTCAGCAGCAGAGCAGCATGCGGAGAACAAGCAGATTGTAGCCAACACACAACACACCAGCCAAGCTACTGGCTCCAACATGCTTCGCCAATCATTTCACTCACTGCAGTCTTTCTGGTCCTTGACGGGCCAGCCAAGAAACGGCACGGAGTCCCAGGAGTGGAAGTCGCTGACGACCCACGAGTCCTGCTTGCTGGGCGCCACGTAGTCCGCACTCACGTAGCGCAGGAAGGGGCTGGCCCATGCTGGCATGTACGTGTTCGTTAATAGCTGCAGGCCATAGGCTGGGATGATTTTAAGAGTTGCATGATGGGGGAATGAATGGGATGTCATCAAGACAGGTTGTGCCAAGGGCAATCTGAATTGGGACAATCAATCATAAGTACAGTCAAGTTTTCGTTTCCCATACTTTGGTGGGCTGCATCTCTTATCTCATAAGATCCAGTTGTTGGTTGATTGCCATTTCACATCTATCTAACAGGCACTACGTTCCACCCTGCTCCATGTATTCAGTGCTGATGCACCTGTTTGATACCCCCTTCGGCAACTGTATTGTATTTAGGCACCTCCCCCAATTCGGTACACCGTAACGTTGCTCAGATTCTGTTTTTCAAATTCCTTCTCAGTTGTTTTTAGATAAGGTATATTGTAAACATGATCTTGGGGTGTTGGTTGGTGCACATTACACCATTTACCACCTTGACTGAATATTCATACTCGTACCTTTTCTATCATACGCATGTTATATCACAGGGGGCAATATATGGAAGACAAGGTAGAGGGACATGGAGAGCGGAGTGAAGGATGCAGGATACAAACGAGATGACCAAGCACAAGCATGGAAAACGAATTCTCGCCTGGTGTACGCGTGAGTGATCGGGGAGAAGCAGGAAGGCCTGGGAAAGGACAAAGAAATTGGAGAAAATAAAAGGTTTTGTGTTTAGGCCCTAACCACTAACCAATTCCCAGTTAAACTCATTTGATTTTCAAAATGCTCGACAAAAGGGCGAGTAACGAGTCAGGTCAGAGTACAAAGAAAAAACTTGGTCCAGCTATACTTGACTACTCAAGACTTGATCGACTCAGCATAAAAGCGAGTCGAGAGAAACTTGACTCGTGTAGGTGTTCTGCTCATGTCTATGCTAACCTGTGTCCACTGTAGATTCAAGAATGACGTGCTTCTGAAACGGCTTCACAGTGGTGGAGGCTACGAAGCCAAAGAAGAAGGCGTGCTGATCGGGCCCAGCCTGCAGCACCTCACAAAGCGCCAGCCTCCTCTCCAGCACCGCCTCCCGCGGCTTCTCCTTCGAGTCAGCCAGGAAGACCTGGATGGTACCGGGATCCCCAGGCTCATAGTCCACCCATGCTGTGTATGCCTTCCTGCTGCTTAGAGGGAATGGTGACTGCACAGCGGCTATCGACTTGTCCTCGCCTCGAACGTTCAGCCCCACATGCTGGCTGCTCATGTCGCCATGCTGCTTGTCCTGCCGAGTGTCAAACTCAACTGCCACACTCCGCTTGTCCATTCCACCATACCCCACGCCGGTGCCTCTCCCCACTCGGTCGGTTGTCGAGACAACAAATGCAAAGCCGTTGAAGCCCACGCGGCCGGACTGAGGCAAGAGGGAGAAGGTGAAGTTGGCATGGAAGGCGAGCTGCAGCCCACACCCCGACAGCCCCTGCCCTGCCTCGAACACAAACAGAGTCACCGGAGCTGTGGTGAAGTTTCCCCTCGTCTCCCGCTGCGTCCCCTTGGTGAGCACAGATGCTGGCGGGAGAACCGGGTGGCTGCTTGAGTAATTCCTGTTCTGGCCTGCACAAACAAAAGTAACGGACGGGCGGACAGGAGTGGGATATGGAGAGCATGAGAGGGTGAGATGAGATGCAAGGCTTGCAAAATAAAAGAAGGTCGAACAAATTTCTAACCAATGGATGGACGTCCCACCATTCCATCAACTTCAAGTGGTGCCCCCTACCTTGAGAAACACAGTCAATGTCTCCAAAGCGCACAAATCCCGCATCGCACAGACATGTGGGTGCCAAACTAGGCCCCTGTGGATAGCACACCCCATGTCCACCACACGCAGCAGCACCACCAGCTGCAGAGGAGACGCCACAGAATGCATTGCATGCTGCCTCCTGCCGCTGCGGCACCAAGACACAGCCCAGTGGCAGCGTAAAGCAGTTGGCATCAAAAGAAAGTGGCAGGCATGACCCGTCGGGCAGAGGGCCTGAGAGGAAGTTGCTAGAGAGATCCAGGGTGCGCACAGCAAGAGGCTTCAGTGGGCGGCCGGTAAGGTAGTTGTGGGAGAGTTCGCTGAAGGGGGGAGTTGCAAGTGACGGGAGAAGGTTGGATGGGAATTGCCTCAATGCAAGTTGTTATGAGAAATTGGAGTGCAGGGAGTGAAGATGTAATTAGTTGTTGAGTAAGAGTGGGTGTCTGGAGGAGGGAGCAGAAGGGGACGGACATGGGCTGGCAGAAGAGATGAATGGGAAGAAGAATGACGAGTCAACTAGAGCGGAGCAGAAGGGAAAGTGGAGGTGGACAAGGAGGAGGCAGAAGAGGAAGAGGAAGAAGAGGCATATGAGGATGGTCGGGTGAGACGAGCAAAGTAGGAGGTGAAGAGAGAATGAGGAAGCAATCTGAGAGATGAGAATGTGGAGAGGGGTCTACAGAGCGCTGGCATCGCATCCACGCATGTGGCATCCACGGGCATGTGACATCCACAAGCATGTGGCATCCATGGGACCATGGGTATGTGCCAGCCATGGGTATACATGTGGTGTTGCATCGAGGGAATGCTTTCCTGATCGGTACTGAATGGTGTTCATTGTTAACCTCATTTTTAAACTTTCCCCTTAGTTCTTGTTAAATGTTATTTTCTTGTCCGTTGTAATTAGAGAGCATGCATAACATGGTAGCCTTAGTCTATGATGGATTATACGCTTATAGCGTATATACGCGTGTCGTATATACGCTAGTGTTTGCACGCTGTACGCAGGTAAAAAAAGTTCACGGGCAGGGCAAAAATACACTCCGAGAGTGCAAGGGGGGGTTCTGGTGGGATGTGCTTCTACAATTTTTTTTCCCACATTATAAAACCTTTCCACGGCCATACATAAAACATCAATGTGACTCACTACTATCTTCTGTACTCTACCACCACCACTTACCCCCTTCTTGACCCCATAATCTCTCTACTTCTCATACTCGTCCGCCAACCCCGCCCTGCCCCGCCCAACCACGCTCACAAGGAGAAGCCGAGACGGGTTGCGAGAGAACCCTTACGGCGAGCGCCGTCAGCTGGGGCGCATCTGTCCTGTTCCACTTAAATCCCTCTGTGCAGTAGCGCCAGCCATCCCGAAACTCCCTTTGAGATCAGGGAAAGACCTCAACTGGTCCCCCAAGGTGAGCAAGTAGTCGCACTCATCACCCCCCTCCTTCCCACGGCTGCTGCTCAGGAACTTCGCATGGTTGGAGATGAAGGCCTTAAATATCCTAGTGCATTCGGCATCCCCGCCGAGTATGTCCTCCTATTGGTTGGCGGGGTTGAGGATGCGTCGTGCCACGTGCATGGCGCACGCAAAACTCCCGTCCCACCTGTTTTTCAAGATGCGGCGGATCTGCTGATTGTCATTGTTGCTCAACTGCCCCTCATCCGCGTCGACAAGGTCCCCTACATCCTCGGTGAGTTGGAGCCTAATGTCATATATGCGCCGCATCATCCCCTTAGTGCTCCCATCCGTCTCACGCATCGCAATGTAGGGGAGCTTCATGAGCTTCACGAAGAATTCTGCAGCCTTCCACCAAGCCGTCGAGTACCAGTGCGTCAAACCCCTCAGCAGCCACCTTCCGCGTCCACAGCCCACTCTTTCCACAGGTCGGAGAGCACCATCTGGGTAAGGGAGTTACAGAGCTCACACAGTCGGGACACAACTCTATACTGTGTCACGAAGCGGGTTCCTGCTTGCGTCAAGGCCTGCAACACGGTTCCCCCAACCAGATCCGGTGTCCGCAAGTACCCCTGCGTCCAGTGGCGATTGCGGACGAAGGACGTCATCTCCGCCGATCCACCACCCTTTTCGCCCACCCAAGCTTCCCCACCCCACGTCTTCTCAGAGAAGATCTAACAGGTGGGTCGCACATGGGACTTGCTGAATGTGGGGCCATTCAGCAATCAACTGCTGGCACGCTACCGTGTAATTGGAGCCCTCGTCTGTACAAAAAGCCACGATGTTCTCCGCCCCCACCTCCTCCACCCCGGGCCTCAGTAATCCCGCAATATATCCCCCTGTCTTCTCCTCCATGTTACAGTCCACGTATTCCACCAACACGGCGCCCGCCTTGTTAACGAGGAAGACATTTGCCTGCGGCCTCCCGTTTCTGTCCGTCATCATGTCGGACACTACGGTAACTCCTGTTTTTTTCCAGCTTGCCTTGATGCCCACCGAGCGGCTTTCAATGCCCTGGCGGCAAGCTTGCACACCGGTATCGCCGGTGTACTTCTGCCCTGGAGAAACATAGCCGTGGCCGGCGCGGGCGACGTCTTTGATTGCGTTGACGAAGAGAGGATGGTCGACGATCTGCTCCAGGATGTGACATCCGGCAAACATCAGCGCAAGCGACCGATGTGCTTCGTGTTTTTCCGCTGCTGCGTCACCCTCGAGATAGTCGGTCATGCGGGCCCGCTTCCCACCGGGGTTCACCGCGGCAATCGCAGCCTCAGTGGATCGGCGCCTCTCCTCTGCATCCGCAGCCTGCTTCTCGTACTTGGACTTCATCGCGAGGCGAGCATCAGCCGGGGCCTTCTTGCAAAGAGACACCTCCCAGCGCTTCATCTTCTTCCATGAAGTCAGGTGCTGAGCCCAACGGATGGCGGCACCTGTGAACACATTGAAGAAGAATTTGAACTCGTACTGTTGTGCCCTGCCCTCCTCCCGGTTGATGATACTGAAGTGCCTAAACACTTCGTGATCTACATTGGCAAGGTATTCCCTTGACGCAGCTGGACGAGGCCCTGAACTCTCCACAGACTGGACGAAGGCGGCGTGAGAGGTGGAGAGCTGGACATAGTCGCGAATGGATACGAAGTAGGATAGGACCGCGCTAACTAGGTAGCGGGAGTTGAAAACGAATGACATTGACATTTTGAGCAGTGGCTTAATAGCATGCAGAGTGACGGTAATGAGGGGACGCGCGGTTGGACTGAATAGATGCTGTGGTTTTGAATGTGGTGAAGTGGTGGGCTTGTTATGTGAATACGTGAAAGCGCGACTCCAGATACTTGACCGTGCCATTGTGAACATGCAAAATGTATTGGTGGAAATCGCGACTCCAGCCTGGAGCCTCCAGGACATTGAACCCACTTTCCAGCCAGGACAGACACGTGACGTGCAATCTGACTTTGCAGAAGTGCTCGTCGTGCAATTCCGCAGGTTTTGAGCTATTCGTTTTTTTTTTGGGTCGGCGGGCTGCCCTGTTCAAAAAGTGGGCTGCGTATAGCGTTTTGCGTGTACACGCTAGCGTACAAACGCTAAACGCAAAGGGTCCAAAGCGTACAATCCATCATAGGGCATTAGTTGGCACTTAACGTTGTTCCAGGTCGCGTAAACGTAGACATACGTCTAACGTTTTTGTTTCCGTACGCGTAAGTTTACGTAAACTCGGCCGGGCAGGCCACAGAAAAAAAATCCGAAACGGAAGGAATTTGACCTTACACCGGTTGAGCGCGGAGCCCTAGTATGACGACCACCACTTACTATGATGATTCTATGTGAAATTGTCAAGTTTATAGGTGACAATCATGTTCTAAAAAGCATCGTCCTGTACTACTAGCATCATTTACGCCAGACATTTGACGTAAAAGTAGAAAGAAACTAGACCTACAAACTTGTGTGCGGAATTTCTGGTTGGTGGTCTAGGGAGCTAATTCGACTACGAAACAATTTTGCCACTCCAACATTTTCCCCTCGAAATACCCTCGTAACTATTTCCTATTTACCTGAAACTACCGAACTCCTCCAAAGCCCATTCTAACAACAAAAGTTCAACGTTTCATATTCCAACTCCTCTTCTCCAAGTCAAGCTCATCAACTTCTCTTTAATTACTTCCAGCCTCCATAGCCCTTTCAAATCCAACTCAACCAAGTTCCCAATCAACTTTCCTATTCATCTGCAGCCTTCACCTTAGGCACATGACTCTTCATCAATTTCCATGCGCTTTCCTTTCCTGCTCATAGATTTTATCCAAGTCATCTACCTCCTCCAATAATCCTCCTCCCATGTGCCCCAAGCACGTGCTTCCGTTTCCTAGTTATCAACGTCCACATGCCTCACATTTAATCCTTTTCTTTCCTCCTTTCTCAAGTTACCAAAGTTGTCAACTCATCATTGTTACCTTCACCTCCTCTAACAAACATAAAAAACCTTTTATCTCCACTCATTCCTTTCCAAGTCACCTAAGTTCTCATCCAACGCTACAAAGCTACAACTCCAACTTATCAAGGTCTCACATGCTCCACTACTATTCATCTCCATCAAGAATATCCACAACAAATTCTCAAGAAACTTCTTTAACGACAGCAAGCCATCTCCAAGCTTCTACATTAAGCCTGTCCAAGACTAGTTCAACCTTGTACCCCATAAACGCTTCGTTGTAGCACTCAAGTTCCATGTCTCATAAGATGCTACAATTATGCAACTCTCTTCCTAGACTACATTTGATGGTTACCATACTCATATCATGCATGCCTATGTATTCTTCATGAATCTATAATGCTTGTACTAAACCTATTTTGATTTAAGTTCATGATTTCAAAACTAGGTTGGCATAAACGCGTTTGGCGTATATACACGTTTCGTATATACGCTAGCGTTTGCACGCTATACGCTGGAGGGGTCATATCGAGGATACGCTTTTTTGGACAGGAAAAAAAACTTTCTCGGGCAGGGTAAAAAACGCAGTCCTCAACATCAGGGAGGTATTCCCTGTTCGCACTAAGACATTCGTAGGATTTTACTAAGTCTGAACGGCGATTGGGGTGGGATGTGGAGCAGACACTATCGCTAGTGGGAATCGGAAGGATCGAAAGCGGGAATGTAAATTAGAATGACCAGTGGAGTTTGCTGGCTGGTAAATAGCGTGAGTGGGGTTTGTTGGGGGACATTTTTGAGAGGTTGGAGTTCGTAGATGAGATGGGTTTTAATGCGGTACTAAACAAATGTTCAATTTTGAACTCCTGCAATCTTCAAAGGCACATTCCCGCTTCCCTATACCGTCGAATTGCATTCTGACTTCGGCGAAATGCTCAGCCGGAGATTCCGCATCTTTCTGTTTACCACACGTTTTTTTTTTTTTTTTTTCAAGCAGCCCCTAAAACATTTTGACTGCGTATAGCGTATTAGCTAGCGTATCGCGTTTTGCGTATACACGCTAGCGTATGAACGCTGTACGCTTTAGGGTCTCAGCGTATGTTCCAACTTAGTTTCAAAAGTCTCTCTCATATATTCTACAGAGTAGCTACCAAGCTAGTGTAGTTTGTACTTTGTGTTTGGTTGGATGTACACCCACATCCCAACCATACCCAAATGAAATCTCCAAGCAACCTCCAACCCACCAATTGGAGATTGCCTTGGGATTACCCCCAATCCCTACAGATTGCCCCCGATTCCCCCTCCCCATCAATTCCTCGCCCATCCTGGATGTACTTAAAGAGCTACAAGCTCATTACTAATGCATGGATTCTAAGCTCAAATTCTATCAGAAGAATCATCATCCAACCCAAGGCTTGAGGTTTCTCCCAAGTAAAGCTTTGATATTGAAGGTTTTTACCCAAGTTACTTCTACAACTACAACTTTTTTTGCTGACCATCAGCGTATACTCGCCTTTCAAAGAGCGTACTTAAACCTAAACATATACGTAAATTGCCAACTAAGATGGCAGCAAGGCGAGATTGAGCATACAGCGTGCGTACAGCGTGAGCATGCATGGCATGGCAGGTGCTCCCCCTGCGGCTTGCCCACAACGTGGTTTTGGAAGTGCAGTGAGAGTGCGCATGTGTGATTTACCAAGTATGTACGAGACGAAGACCCATAGAGCAGGAGAAATAGACTGAGGTAATGTGTGGGTCGTACAAGTGTGCGAGCTGTGTCAGCTGGGTGAGAGTGCTTGGTATGCTCCCATACAGCTGGTTGAAAGCGAGAGACCTGGTGACCATGGTGGTGAGACAGAAGGATGTTAGAGGAGCGACGAGAAGGATACAACTGGAGAACCAAGGCGGTCGGAGTACCAGGTTGGGTGAGTGAGCGATTTTTGAGATTGACGGGCTGAGCGGATACAAAACGGTGGCTCCAGGCCTGATGGTGATACGGAAAAAAATGTGCAAGGTTCAAATGTCCGATTCGCTATATTTGCACACTATTCACTTGTTGGGTTGCGTTTCGATTCATGTGCTAGGTTCGCGTTCGGCCGCCGATTGGGACAGACCAGCCCGGTTCAAATTTCAGCAAGCCACCAAAGCCTAATTGCCTGTCCCGCCCAGCTTGGGCCAAACCAAGTCCCCGCCCGCGTACAGAGGGTTAGAGGAGAGCATTAGGAGCGAATACCACACAACATCAGAAGCGATGGCTGGTGTAGATTAGTGTTCGCTTAGTTGTTTGTGATGCCCATATTTATTAATTTCGGTCATTGTCACAGTTTCTTGTTATTATCCTAAGCTGAACACGCCATAGGTTTCAGTCAGGATTCCACCCCACCTGCCCTTAACCTTCTACAGATGAGCACAGAACCATACGTAGTTGTAGTTCGGGCTCGATTTGCGCGTACTGTGCTATGTTCGACTTCTACATGCAAACCTTGAATTGAACCAATGACACGCCTACAACCGTTCGACGGCGTTCAAACAGAACCCGTTTGGGTAAGCTTTTATTTACCCTTTCTCTTGTCACCTACTACTATTACTCCCCACTACGAGGCAGGGACAAGAACTGAACCAGAACCGGCTCTCGTTTTGCTGACTCAAAGCTAAACCAATTTGGATTCAACTGGTATTTGAGCATGCAGCTTCTTGATTCGAGCCTTATGTTGTTGCTGATGCCTACTCGGAAGGCACAAACAGCACACTTGTGATAACAGAAAGAAGAACCTTTATTAGGGTAGAAAATTTCATGAATCTCCAGCACTTGCATTTGGTTTGGTCAGTGTGTCAGTGGCACACATGTCTCATATAATTTGGCTCTGATGGCCGGGCTGAATGAAATCACTGAGAACGGCGGTGGTTCAGTTTGGCCATACATGAGAACGATTATACCAAAACTTGAACTCCAATTCTTTCCTAAAACTAAATATAAAACGCTCGCGTGGACCAGAGCCGCTCGGGCTCAAGTCAAAGCACTACCCGTTCGAAGTGCTGAATTAGTTCATTGCAATGCATGACATTCACAGCTGGAACATTCAAAAGGTTTGAGTCAAACCCTGATCCGGTTCGCCTTGAATCAGAAGGCAAAAAAAGGACCCCAGTTCGGTTTCCTGCTCACCTCTGGAGTATGACAGGGTGAAAAAAGCAGGAGTATCAGAAAGGACGCAAAGCTGGAGGTAATAAATCTATAAAAATTTGTCTAATGCGAAAGAATAGAAAGGGGTTAGCAAATGAAGGGGAAGGAAGAGCAGGAACTAGCTTACAGGAATACTAGTTTTGTCATGTGACCAATCTCAGCAGGAATGGAGCCAGTGAGCTCATTGTTGTTAAGGGTCCTGCATGGAGGAACAAGGCGCGCAATTGAGGGGGAGGCAGAAGAAGTGAGCAGGATTATTTAAAAAGTCATGCCACTCACTAAATAGTGTGGGCCAAGCCAAAAAATAACACAAGGATCGTAATACGCATGAGCAGATTCCCGAGCCCAGTCCGGACCACGACGGTTCGTCTAGACATGGTCAAAGTGACGAGTCGAGCAATACTCGACTCGTCACTGGTCTTGCTCGCCGAGCTTTTGCCTCGAGTCGAGCAAAACTCTGACGAGCAATTTCAACTTTTTGCATACTCGTGACTCGTCCCTTGTAGGCATGCTCGGGCGAGTTTGGGGGGAAACTCGTCCGAGCACAAGTAATGATCGACTCGCCACCCTGTGCCTTGTAACTGCAAAATTGGTTCCTGCATAAATTTCCTAGACAAGACATGTCTAGGTTGCATTCGTCGACATGATGCTCTGTTTGTATCTTAGTGAAGTTTCGCGACTCGTTTTGATCGAAATAGTAACGTTCCTAAGATGCCAAGTTAAAACATGCTAAGCGATCAGCTAGGTACTACAAAGTTGCCTAGTCTACGAAATCAGGTAAGAAATTGGCGCGGTAGCTAAGACTGTCGAGATGGAGGGGGGGGGGGGGGGGGGGGGAGGGTGGGTTGGGGTGGATTGAGAGGATGAGATGTGAGTCGCGTCAAACTGTTTCACGATAACAGTTCGCGAACACTTTTAACTTGATCGCAGGTAATTCGTGGCAAGGCACGACAAAATTAAGCCCACTCGCCAATTTCGCGAGCGGTGGAAATTGTTGTGGTTAGGTAGAAATGCGTTTCTCAGATGTGTACCCAATCATTCCGCAATTTCTCTTTTCGGGTTACGGGACGAGATTCCCACATTCACGACGAGATACTCGCAGCGCTGCAATGCGTTTCTCAGTCACTCAACGGATTGAGTGTGCAAATGTTAGGGAAAGTGGTTGGGACCACTTGCCGGGTTCAAATCTGGGCCCAAATTTTCCCGCCAATCTGAACCCCATGCAGAAGTTATGCGACGAGTTTTGTTATGCTCGACGAGTTTTAAAAAATCTCGTCGAGCACAAAGCTCACCCGAAATTGCTCGTCGCCCAAGCCGAGCACGTTACGAGCAAAAAAAACTCGGCGAGTAATATTCGCCTCGCCTCGCCCGAGTAAATTTCCCAAAAAAGCAGGCTCGTCACTCGACACCCAACGAGCATCTCGAACGAGTCGAGCAAAAACCCCGCCCTCGCTGCCCATGTATAGGTTCGTCATGTATCCAACAGGACTTTCTTTTGTCTTAATTGCCCTGCCTAAGCCCGGCCCATTTGAACTGGCCCGGCTCGCTGTGTTGCTTTTCTTACGATGAAGCAAGCCAAATTGTCATGAGGCACGGCCGTAGCAGGTAGGCACGTTCAACTCGAGATTCGAGCGAATTGGCTAACTCACGCGAAATGCTAAATTCGTCCATGTGCGGATGTGGAGGCTGGTATACAGGGAGTTGGCACTGTTACCGCCGGAATATATGTGGTGCTGCATTTGGTCATGGGTGCATGCATGCTCGGTATCTCCGTATCCAGAACCAGCCACTTTCACTCCAATCGGCATACATTCGAATAAAAGCCACGAAAATCTTCGGGGTGCTGGCGCAGCATCACACCCATCCATGCAGTGCTGCTACGTTTGGGTTCGACAAAAACTTCAGTGCATGCTTGGAACGTCCAAAATTCAGTCACATGTATGCCATACATTTGACGCTTCCCAGGTGCAGCGCGTCCGGACGCTAGATGCGTCAAATCGATTTGACGCTGGACGCTTGAGAAAAAACAGTTCAGGCAGACCGAAACAAACATTTCAGTTTCGCAAGATTTCAGTGCGACAAGAACTGCGATGAAATTGCAAACTGTGGCGAGGGTGTTTTTGAGCTAGAAAAACACAACCCACATTCAATCCCCCCCAACACATTTTCACCCCTCCATAACCAGAAATCCAAACCTGGACGACACCGATCTTACCTGGGGTCGACAATACTCACATTTCTCTCTCTCATCACCCTAGCATTCTAAACCATAGAATCTGCCAGTCGCTTGTTAGTCTTCCTAGTTTAAGACAAGGTTGGATAAATCGCTAGGCGAAACTTTTGCTTCGAAAGTTTCGCCCGAAAATTTCACTAGGATTTTGAATATTTCGGCAAAATTTTGTTAGGACGCAAGTAGGGATGAGGATGTGGGCGGGCCAGGGCCCGCCCGGGTCGGGCGGGCTCGGAAATGCCCCGGGCCGGGCATCAGAATTTCGACTTGGGCCGGGCTGACCCGGCCCGCCGGGCCGCAGCCGCCCGCTTATGGCCCGCACTTTTACGGGCCGGGCCGGGCCGGGCAACCTTGAAGCGCAGCCCGGGTCGGGCAGTCACGGCCCGATTTTTACCCCCGCGACAATTTGTCGCGGGAGTCAAATGTGAGGTGCACGTGATTTGTGCAGCTCGTTTTCTGCCTAAGCTAGATTGTAACCCCACCCAGCCCTGATCGCTCTGCATTTCGACTAGCCTAAACCAACATTTATAGGTAAAGCTAGTCTCTTAAAGTAGGTAGAAACACCCGCGCCCATGGGTACTAAGGGCTTCGTGACATTGGTCCTAGGTCCTAGACATGACATTACAGCAGTTACAGCCCAGAAATCCACTGGTTTAGAAACTATAACTGCAGCAGGGCCGGGCCGGCCCGGCCCGGGTCGGGCCATGAAGAGCCCGGGTCGGGCCGGGCACGGCCCGCCCGCTTTAAGGGCGGGCCCGGGCCGAGAGTTCCCTTCAAGGGCCCGGGTCGGGCCGGGCCAGCCCGGCCCGGGTTTTTCCGCCGCCCGGGGTGGGCCCGACCCGGGCCGGGCCCGGCCCGCCGGGTGCTCATCCCTAGACACAAGGAAATATAGAAACAAAACCAAACAAAGGGTGAGGGGAGGACCAGAAACAATGTTGCGACTCCAGTATCCACTTTAAACGCATGGGACAGGGAGCTCTAGGCTAGACGCCGTGGTGCAGTAGCCTGAAGTAGAGATAAGCGTAATTAAGTGGTTAAGCTAGTACTACTGACAGATTCTGCCAGGTGATAAGACTATGGGCACTGTCAACTAAGCTCGACGGATTCGCGACCAGCCCTAACCCATCGATGTTGATGATTGACCTCCCCACAGCACAAAATTGTCACATTTTGTGCATCCAACCTATTTCTATCTCTAAACCGCGTATGGATCTAGAAAACCCAACCCACCCAATTTTAGAATTGGGCTGAGGGGAGCTTTCCGAGATCTAGATCTCAAATTGTCCCCCATTCAATCCTCAATTGCTAGCTGTCTTCTCCAGTGAGGTTTGAAAAATTTGCCGAAATTTTCGCCGAAATTTTGCACCAAATGCAAATTTTGACAGCTCGACGAAATTAACCGAAACTTTCGGGCGAAAGCTTCGACAGCGTAATTTTCGCCCAAAAAATGAAAAATTCGCCGAAATTTTGAACCTTGGTTTAAGATAAGGCGATAAGGTTGGAATGTCGACTCCTAGTCCCACGAATCAATCGACGAATATGTGCCCCCCTTTCCCAGCACCCCCCCCTCTCCCCCCCCCCCCCCCCCTCCCCTGCCCTCTCTTCCCCTAAATTTTGATGTGTGAAACTTGTTATGTATCTTGCGTGCGAATTTTGGGATTCTGTGGAATTTCAGGAAATTCTTGTGGGTAATGTATGGGTCGTACAAGCATGTGAGCTGCGTGAGCTGGGTGAGAGTGCTTGGTATGCTCCCATACAGCTGGTTGAAGGCGAGAGACCTGGTGGCCATGGTGGTGAGACAGAAGGATGTTAGAGGAGCGATGGGAAGGATACAACTGGAGAACCAGGGCGGTTGGAGTACCAGGTTGGGTTAGGCATGAGAAAATGGCCCGGTCGGGTCAGGCTGACCTGACCCGACCCGAGGACTCGGCCGAGTCGGGTCAGGACCCTCGAAGTCCTGACCCGGGCGAGTCGAGTCGGGCCGACCCGGGCATAAAACCCGACCCGACATTTCATTTCGGGTCGGGTCGAGTCGGGCTTCGGGTCAACGTTGACTCAACCCGGAATCAGGTAAAAAACATGGTATTTGGGTCGGGCTTTGACCCAAACCTATTTTGACACTTAGCAAAACCCTAATGTCGAGGTCGAGGGGTCCCGACACGAGTCCCGCAACCTAACTTATACCTTTCAGCGAAGAAATCCTAGTTTCTAGTCAAGTAATAGCCTCAATGTCGAGATCGGCAAGTAATAGGCTCAATGTTGAACGATTTGAAAACAGGAATTGTAGATATAGTTCAGTGCGGTAGAAAGTGGTGAACAGTGGCGAATTGGTTGGAAATATTCGTTCCAACGCATTTGTAGGAAACAAAGTGCATAGCCTGAGTAAACTGCAGGCAAAATCTCAATTTCCAGATCGGTAGCGAAATTGACGATGTGCATAGTTATGCTGGCAAAAGCGCAGGCAAAATTGCCGATCTGCGCAGATCGGCTGGCGAAATCGTCGATCTGCGCAGATCGGCGGACAAAATCGTCGATCTGCGCAGATCGGTGGGCGAAAGTACCGATCTGCACAAGGCGCTCGGAAGCGGGTTTCCCTGACCCGACCCGACCTCGGGTTGGCCCGACCCGAGATCGGGTCAACCCTGATCCGACCCTGTACCCCCGGTTCGGGTCAGGGCCTTCACCATCTTGGCCCGGGTCCCGACCCGACCCGACCCGATTCGGGAACCTGGCTGGCCGGGCCAAGTCGGTTCGGGTCGGGTCGGGTTGGGTGCTCATGCCTAGTTGGGCGAGTGAGTGAGAGGTTTTTAAGATTGAAGGGCTGAGAGGATACCAACCGTGGCTCGAGGCCTGATGGTGATACGGAAGAATCATGCAAGGCTCAAATGTGCTAGATTTGCATACTAAGTTCATTTGTTTGATTCATGTGCTAGGTTCGTTTTGGGGCAAACCGGCCCGGTTCGACTTTC